TTCTTTCATTTTCTTTCCGCTGATGTCCCTTTGATGGCTCTAATACGAGACCTAACAGGTGCATTCTCCAACTACTATTCGAATTCTAGTTTTCCGATAGTACCTGCTCTACGCAAGAGTGGGTGTAATTAAGAGAACAGAATACTCACACACGCTCACACCCACACTCAGTCACTCACACCCTGAAGATTAAACGATAGATTTAGCTTATATTTATTTATTTATTTATTTATTTGCGCACAAAGAGACATTAGTAAAATGTTGATGTAACAGAGAGAATATTTCACCTGCTACCACATATAAAACAGCGTTCAGTCAATTTTATTAGTTTTACTGTCATTTAAAAACGAATAAATTGATCATTTATGTTCCAGCCAGCCTCCACCGCAGTTTTATATATGCTGTCCATCATCTCAGTTGGTCCACAACACAACAATAAACCATCATTTACAGGTTTGATATGTGATGGAGAAATGTGTCCTCGAAGACCAGTCCAGCCATTTGTTTGATGTGAAAGACAATAACGTACTTGTTGTAAAATATCAAGTTCTTTGCGCAAAAGGATGTCTTCTTCCATCTTGTTACAATATATAAGATCACATTTGATCCCATCTCTATATGCATGTCGAAAAATCTGATAAATTCCAGTGATACCACTTCCACCAGCAATTATAACGAACTTGTTGATCTTACGCGTGATGCCTTTGTTCAAAATAACTCCATTACCTTGATATTCGAAGTCACCAAACGGTCCTTTGCACTCAACTGTGTCGCCTTCTTTAAGTAAGTCAATACAAGCAGACATCTTTCCTGCAGATCGATTGCCAGACGCTCTATACAACTTAACGACCAAATCAAATTCTCCCAATTGATCTACTTCGGAAATGGGCGTATAAGTCCTTATGACTTTTTCATTTGATTGAGAAGTACAACGAATGTAAAAATGTTTACCAATTGGTACTCCTAACTTTTGGTTAGAATGCTCCAATCCAAACGTTAAATATACGGAATCATGATTCAATACCGTTTTCCGCTTTAAAGTAGCTTTCGTCCACCGTTTTTGGGTAAGAAAAATATCTCGCTGTGTATCCTGATTTGTTTCTTCGATCAGAGCATTTTTTTTCGTGGTATTTGTTTTAAGAATACCGATATGATATTTAATTAACATACTTTTGGCATGATCGCTATGAATAGTCATAAAATCATCAGAAGCATCCATTCCACTGGCTAAAACGATCGAATCAACTCCACCAGGATGATCTCTCAAATACTTAGAAACATCATAAACATGTTCATTGACGGCAATCCATGCATCACCATCTTTATTATGCTTTGATAATTCCTCTTCAGTGATTACACGTGTAATGGACTCATCAAACATTTTAATAGTAGACAATTTTCTTTCTTGTAAGTGATCTGTTGCTGCTACTGATCTGGAACCCCAAAATCCATCTGTAAGTTCACGACCTTCTTCCTTGACTTTTTCCATCCATCCACCTTTAGTTAAAGCTGGCACTGTTGGATGATCGAATTTTAAAGCGTTACTATTTTCTTGTTTAGTTACAGTCAATCTATGCCAACAATTATTCAACATACTAAGAACATTCCAATACATGTCTCGAGGTTGAATATTCATGTTTTCATCCATGACTCGAACAACAATATCTTTTGCCTGAGAAAGTTTCATGATAGGAACTTCAATATTCCAGAAACACCAACAAAAAGATTGTTCTCTGTCTGGCATATCTAATTTTCCACCGAACAATTCAGGATAACATGTGGATTTTCTGTAAAGATCTTCGGGATAATCAATCTTTCCCAGTTGCCATGTACAACCTTGATCGAGTGAGATCTCGACTCTACCAACTCGTATTCCACCACCATTATAAGCATATCCTCGAATATTGTAAGATTTGTTTTCTTCGATTTCGACAATTTCTTCATGAGCAGGATAGCATATAACACTCTGTACATTAAGATTATATAAAGCGTATCGTTCATCATTATACCAAGATTTATCTTCAGCAACCATTTCCGGTGTTGCCATTGTCGGTAAAACTCTGTTATCATATATATGATACCAATTGTCACTTGGTTCTTCTGTAATAATTATTCGTTTTAACCATTTAACGCTTCGTCCACCGATGTGTCCTGGTATAACAACCCGTAAAGGTCGACCATGGTCCGGTGTCAATGACTCACCATTCATCTTATAAGCCAGCATAACACCCATAGCAGGATTCATGGCAGTTGAAAGTCGAATACTTGTTCCATAATAACCATTTGGAAGTTTGTCGGCGCCTTCCATACACATGTATTTTGCAGTATGTTTTGGTTGAGCCAATTTAATTATTTCATTTATCGGAACACCTGTGAATAAAGCCGTGCTCACTCCTGCACTTCCCCAATTAAATCCATTTCCTTTTCGTACCACATTTTGTTCTTTTCGTCGATTACCTGCACATACCATTGTTATAGGAATTGTAATTTGATTAAATGTCAAAAGTTCAGCCAGTTTAAGTGTAATCGGTTGTTCAACCATTCCTTCAATGCTAAATTCCCAGTTTAAGACGTCAGAATCAAGTACTTCTGGTACAGCTCCATGATTGCGCACAAACCATAATTCTGTGGGTGTAAGAAAACCACTGTCATATAATACACTGAGTGGTGCTTCGCAATTGAATGGATGAACTCCCGTAAGTCGAATTAGTCTGCTATCTCTTGGAACATGCGCATCTGGTGTCTTCTTATCACATTCTAATATTTTAGTTGGCTTTTCGGTTTCAAATGGTACAGGAAATAAATTAATTTTTGTAGAAGAATTGATCTGTTTTGAGTCACGAACTATTTCGAGTTTTGAAGATTTTGGACGAAAATCCATCAGAGTGTCCTCCTTGTTATTTGAACCATAAAGCGTTGAGGTTGTCATCATTATTGGTCTCAAGGTTCCAGCACTGTAAATAAGAAAACAATGTATAGAGAAGAAAAAAAGATATTCAAAAAAATAGAAAATCTAACAAGACTTTCTGTTCTCAAGAGAAGATGCATTAAAAATGGACTGACTTATGTACATGGCGAAACGGTAACTCGATAACAATCACTGTTTAAATAATTTTCAAATAAATAGTGTTGTTTTTCTATAAAGTTGCAGTTAATATTCAAACGTCCTTAAAAGTTATTACTGATTCGCAAATTTCTTTATAAACAATTTGTCTAGAAAATCCTGCAATTTCTGAGTACTTTAAATTCCACAAATGAATAAAAATAGTTTAATAATGCCTGAGTGTATGATATTAATAAAAGCGATTTTGCTCGACGAGGAAAAGAGAAGAAAAAGAACGTAGTTTGTAATTTTGTAACTGATGGTATGATGCTTCGAATCAACGATGATTGTTAACCTTTATCATTGACGAAGAAAAACTGGATGGGTTCACGAAATCGACCTATACGTATCTCACTCAACGCACCACGCCACGTCGATGCGACACGCTAGTGAAACATGTGTCGACACATGTTCGGTGATGTGTCTTGGACGAACATGAATATAATATGGACGAATATGAAATATAATATGGACGAAGGAAAAGAAACGAGGGTGTGGGTGTGGGTGACAGTGAAAGTATTGTCATAATCTCACCCAGATCCACACCCGATTGTGGATGTAGGTAAGGGTGTGAGTTTGGGTGTGGGTGAGTGGTATAGTAGTGAATGTGGATGTAGATGCACATGAGATGGTGAGACTTCTTTCGCTCGAACTGAAACCCATATCCATCCCCCAAGCAGCAAAGCCCAAAGTTTCAAGAAGCTCAAGGACATCTTTCTGCTTGTTCTCAAAACTCCTTTTCTGTTGTTTTGTTGTGTGTTTATCAATAATGCAACATCGAAAAAGAAAAGATAAAATAGAAAGTGTGAGTAAATAATGAGTTTTATTAAATAAGTAATATTAGATGCATGTCATTTCTTTCCAACTTTCTGTTTATCAAAATAGTCTGCTCACATGAAGGTGTGAGTGCGGATTTCTGTGAATGGATGCAAGGGTGAATGTGGGTGTGAAGGTGTAGGTGGGAGTGTGAGTGGCAGCAAAAGAATTCTCATCATCTCACGCGCATCCACACCCAGCTATGGGTATGGATGTGGGTGTGGTTGGGTGGGTGTGAGTGTGGGTGTGGATGGGTGTGGGTGGGTGTGGGTGGGTGGGTGTGGGTGGGTGTGGGTATGACTGAAAAAGATAAAATCACCTACACCCACACCCACCCTCAATAAATCACATTTTAGTATTAGACGATAGCAATCAAGCAAATTTATCACTATGAAATTTTTGAAAAACTTAGATGCTTTTAATTTTGCATAAAAATGTTTTTCTCTGAGTTAATTTTAAAAAACTCAATGAAAAAAGAGATGTTTTGTTAAATTATTAAAATAAATTTTATTTATATTCTTTAGAGATATTTTGATAATATTAACGACTAAAAGAATCATTTACAAAGATGGGTGTGAATGAGTATCAAATATAAAATCTACACTCATCCTGAAGACCATCAGAAAAAACAAGAGTTTGGTTAGAATTACATACGTTTTAGATTTCTCTTATAGTGCAAATAAAGCACTCATGACAGAAAGATAAAAGATTTCTTTTTTATTTCTAAACCAAACGATGTGTTATTAGTGTGCAGGCGAATGAGAATCAGAATACTGGTCACAGCTGCATTCACGCTGTGAAGTATCGTATTTCTTTGCTTAGCATCTTCTTGTTTCTTATCAGTTGTTGTGTAACACGTTATGTGATGAAAGAGCAGAATATTAGATTTCGCTAAATAGTCAAACAATACTGACAAAAAAATAAAAAATATGAAATATATACTTCAAAATAGTATTATAGCTTGAATAAAATACAAAATAATAATAGAAGAAAAACAATATGGAAGAAAACATTGAAGAGTGTAATAATAATAAATATAGTTATAAAATTCTTGAAAAAAAGTATTTGCTCATATTTCAGCTTAACCAAACATATCTTGTTTGATTCTACCTAAAGCTTTGTATTCTTGGATAATATTATTCGCTTGCATTAATGTTAAATTGTTTTCACTACATGATTCTATAATCGATGCTAATGTTGATTCGATACCTTGACAAGCACGAGTCGATCCACACATGTATACAACAGCATTTTTTTCAGTTAGCAATGAATAAATCATACTTTCGTAGTCTAACATTGCATCTTGAACATGTCGTCTATTAACACCATTTTCTCGTGAGTATACTGGTATAACGGCTGTTATAAGTTTGTTAGTTTTGCCTGTTTTACTGGTAAGGGCTTTGAGTTCTTCTGCATAAAGAAAATCGTTTTCACTTCGACAACCCATAAACAAAATACGTTCAATGTTGACTCTTCCTTGTGAACCTTCCAGTAATTGTAACTCTTGCCAGAACGATCGAAATGGTGCAATACCAGAGCCAATTGCGAACATTAAGAGTGGAGAATTCAAGGGCACATCAGTAACCACCTTTGATGTCACACTCAGTGACAAATGTTCTTGGTCTGGTAATCGAAAATGTGGATTAGGCGATATAAACAATCGTACCAAGCTTGGTTTACGTTGCCATACTGCTTGAATTGGTTGCCCATTAGACGATAATTTAGGTGTTGTTTGCTGTAAATAATTGGAACAGATACCTCTTCGAATTATTCCATGTGGTGTCATGTAGGTGACAACACTAACAGTAATGTGTAATTGATTTGGATGGAAACGATCCGATGACGATATTGAATAATATCGTGGTTGGAGTTGTGGTAATAACTTATATAAACAAGAAAGAAAATTATCAAAGTATAGTTCATTATTTTAATTTATTCTTGTTAGACAATAATTATATCTATCAATTGTACTTGATAGGATAAAATTTTACAAATGTAACTGTGTTAGACTAGAACTCGGTATACACCGAACCCGAATAGTTCGGGTTTAAGGATGTGAGTGTATGAGAGAATAGGCGTGAGAGGTTACTGTGCATTCAGGAAGAGTTTAACAGTTACTCAATGACTTGGATTTAGATATGGGTGTATGTGTGTGAAGAAGATAACACCCACACCCACACCCACACCCACACCCTCACACACACACACACCCACCCACACCCACCCACACCCACACCCACACCCACACCCTCAAGATAAAATGAAATAATACTAATCTTGAGATTTTTAACTAATTTAATGTAGAAATAAATAAATATGGTGTAGCCGATTTTTAAGTTTTTATATATAATTAGGAAACTTTCGATCTTTATACGATCATTATCAGCCTATGCATCGATGTCAAACTGAATAAAAAACAAAAACAAGAAACATGAATAAAAAATAGAAATTATTCGACTTAAATAAAAAACATCCTAACCCTAATATTTAATTATAATAGTGTATAAAATATATGATACCTTGAGATTTTAACGAACGCATCTGTGTCATTACCTATAGGTTCATAATGATTGTCTAAAAATTGAAAATTTTCTGATTATATCTAAAAACTTAAAAATTGATTACATTATATTTATATTGTATTTCGAATAGATTTATTTTCAATTAGAATTCGAAATTATAAAACAGTATGTAGAAAAGTATTTTCGCCCAAAAAAGGTTAAATAATAAATTTTTTTCTTCCCTTATTCGTCTTTTGTTTATATGTCATAATATATTATTGATTAATAATGAGTAAAATAATCTATAACAAAAACGCAATTATACCAATAATGACGCAAATTATCTTTGATAAAAATCCAGTTATATAAATAATGGACAAAAGAATCATTATGATGAATACACTTGTATACGTATATGATCGGTATATTCAAATTAATACGATAAGGTGATACAACGTCGATTTTATATCAACATGAAGAACAAACACGTCTGTAAGTAGAAAATAATTTTTTATTTATTTTTATTAAATTAACAAGTTTTTATAATTAAACAAAATTTTTCTTATAATATATTGAGACTATTAATGTCGGAAGATGAAGATATATCTAAAAGAATTTTTTTTTGGCGATATTCATCTGTTTATGTATTTGCGTACTAAAGGTCATAGAGCACTTATTTTATAGTAAGATTATTACTTAATACTCATGATTATTCATTGAATTTTTAAATTAAAAATTTTTGCTAGAAATGTTTATCAATATGATTTTGTGATACATAACAAATAAAATTGATTTGAACAATGCATTTCTAAGAGATTTAGTTACTAGGAAAAGTTTTTATTGAGACAATACTGAAAAAGTAAATTTACTCTGAAGCGTTTTTATTCGTAGTTTTCTAAATTTCGATATTATTTACTTTGTCTGACTATCAACCTCAATAAAAAATAATTCCTAACTTACTTATTAATTATGCCTACGAAAAAAATTTAAAAACCTGCTTTCGATAACTTATACTCAGTATGAATTTTTGTTTATTAAATTAAACTGTTGATTATCATATGTTTTCATAATTCAATATATAAACCATTTAAATTAATTGATTTATCTTTAAAAATTGTTTTTAAATAATTGTATTTTTTTCCATCTATTCAATGGAGACATTGATTGTTAAGCGATTCGTCTTTGGCAATGTTTAGATAAAACAAAAATATGAATTTGAAAAGAATTGTATTGATTATTAAAAATACTTCAAAATAACATCAAGATGGACATTTGATAAATATGATCGATTTGAAACTAATCACCAAAAGAGAACAAATCAAATTCAATAGACAGGTGATTTTCTGACCTATTGATATTATAAGTGCATTTTGATGATTAATATAATTGATTGATTGTTTATATTTAATAAATTGATATTATATCTTATAAATATGAATTATTTTTGAAAATTAATTATCATATTGATATTAGAGAATATTTTTAGTTAAATTAAAGTTTAATAAAATAGATATGAGCTCTAAAAAATTTAAAAAAGTATATTTTGTTTTCATTTTAATGATAATTTTATGAATTATGTTTATCATAGCATTTATATCATCAAGAGAAAGCAATGCAGGTGAAACAGATGATGAACAACCAAAAAATATTCGAACGTGGGCATCATCAATGGGTTCAAATCAAAATTCTCAAAATTATCTTTCAACAAATTCCAATTTATTGTCAGTAGATGAAATTCCGGAAGAACGAGCATGGTCATCAGGTTTAAATACACAATCAGATGATTATCTAAGTGAAGGTCCAACAAGAGAACAAAGATTACTTCTTTCAAAAACTAATAAAACTAATCAAAATTCTGTAAGAAGAGATCCTCGTGGTGTTGAACAAATTCTTTCTTATATTGATCAACGTCGTCCACCACGAAAAAAACATGTATATCGTTTAACTTGGCGAACATTTATTGGTACAATGTCTGGAATGAATGAAATATATAATCGAGAAGAATTTCATAAATATCGTTTTTTAATTATATTTATTGATTCAGTTTTTCGAGGTATAAGTCAAGTTATGTTTGCAAATAATCCATTATCAGGTCTTATAATAACAATTGGATTATTTTATGGAGATTGGCAATTAGCATTTTATGGACTTCTTGGAACATCTGTATCAACATTAACAGCACATATTTTAGGATATAATTATAATGCAATTCGATCGGGTTTATATGGATATAATGGATGTTTAACAGGAATGGGTATAGCTTATTTTACATTTCCACAATCTCCACAAATAATTCCGGCAGTTATACTTATGTCAATATTTTCATCAATATTTACAATGTCTATTGGAAAAGTTCTTGTTGAAAAATTTGAAATATCTCCATATACATTTAGTTTTCAAATTTCAACATGGATATGGTTACTTGGTTCATTAAAATATCGATATTTTTTTCTTGATGGACAAATTTTATCTCCATCATTATTAACAACATTCACTGATAAACCAAATTTATTAAATATATCATATCAAATATATACAGTTGAAGATAATTTTGTTGGATTTTTTGCAAGCATAGCACAAGTATATTTTCTTGATAATCCATATACAGGTGCAATTATTCTTATTGGTGTCTCGCTTTGTTCTCGAATTTTATCATTTTTTGCATTATTTGGTGCTGTAACAAGTCAATTAGCTGCAGCTTATCTTTTAGGTTTATCTCCTCAAGCAATTCATTCTGGATTATGGGGTTATAATGCTGTATTAACATGTGAAGCATTAGGTGGAATGTTTTTTGTCTTATATGGTTATAAAATTTGGATATTTACATTATATGGTTCATTAATGACATTACTTGTTCAAGCTTGTATATCATCATTTTTAAATCCAGTTGGTATGCCAACATTAACATTTCCATTTACTTTTATATGTTGGATATTTTGTTTATCAAGTGGTTCAAAAAATCTTGTTCCTGTTAAAATAACATCAGTTAGTATACCTGAAGATCATTATCGTCGTTATCGAACATCTCAATTAATTAAAAATCAATTTTATTTTTTAAGTCATTTAACAACATTTTCATTTTCAGCAGATGAAAATTTAACATGGGGAGAATTAGCTAAAATAAAAGAAGAATTTATTCCAATATTAATGTGTTCATATGTTTATAAAAATGATTTACATTCACTTAAAATGTTATTTAAACAAACTACAAGTAGTAAATCAACAGATCAATATTATCGTAGTCCATTACATATAAGCTCGTGTCAAGGAAACTTTTTAATAACTAAATATCTTATTGAACATGGTAAATTAGATGCTAATGCAGAAGATAAATATGGTAATTCACCATTGTTTGATGCGCTATGGAATGGACAATTCCATTTACTTGCTTATCTTTATTATCATGGTGCAAGATTACCTGGCGATAAAGCACAAGAATTAGCTTTTTATTTAAATGCATTTGTTTATGAAGATAATCTTGATGCTATTCAATGTTTAATTTCATGTGGATTAAATCCGAATAATGGAGATTATGATGGAAGAAATGCTTTACATTCAGCAATAATTACAAATCAGTTTAATATTGTTTGTTTTCTTGTAAAAAAAACTCAAATTTGGTTTGATTTAACTGATCATTCACAAAAAACACCTTTAAATTATCTTACAAATTTATCTGATTTTAAAATAAAAAATTATTTATTTGATAAAATACAAAATAATTATAATCCATTGAAAATTTCATCAGAAAAATTACCAACATTTTCAAAAAAATCAGTTCATGCGAAAGAAGATAAAGATGAAAAGACAAATCCAACAAATATTGATGAAATTTTATTTCCCTCACTTTTCTGGATAATTTCAGCTCAAAATGATAAAAATAAAATAAAAAATTTTCTTGAACAATTTTCTCATTTAAATATATTGGATTGTGTTGATTATGATTATCGTTCTGTTTTACATGTTGCTGCTGCTGATGGAAATTTAGAAGTAATTCAATTCTTAGCAGAAATTTCTTCAAAAGAACAGTTTCAACAAATTCTTTTACGAGAAGATCGATGGGGATTTGCTCCATTAGATTATGCATATCAAAATGATCATTTTCATATATCTCAATTTTTAAATGAATATATGGATAATAATATATCTCCTCCGACAATTATTCAATTGGATAATCAAAATCAAATTGTGAATTTATTTAAAAAATGGTTTAAAATCCATCTTTTTCAAAGATTAGCTAGTTCAGGACAAGCTCAAAGAATTCAAGGACTTTTTATTCAAAATTATTTTCATTCAAATCAACTTTATGATGATTATCATCAACGAACACCAATGCATATTGCTGCAGCAAATGGACATTTAAAGGTTGTACAAATTCTTCTTCAATATGGATATGATGGTATTACACAGAAAGATCGATGGGGATTTTATCCGATTGATGAAGCAAGAAAAAACTATTTTTATGAAATTGTAAACGAATTACAACAAAATACTTTATAAAAGATTTTTTTAATGTTTCAAACAAAATAATTCTTTCTTTTTTTTTATTATAATTAATAAAGGAATTTTTGTTTTTTGAAAAGTCAAATCTAAACTGACATTCACCATATGAATAGCATTTAGTATGAAATTCTTTCTAAGAAAAATTTAAAAAAATATTAATAAGTGGAGATAATTCAAGATATATAGCTACGAACTTGGATTTAACTTAATAACAACTACTTACTTGAAAAAAATATATTATAATTTTCTTTATTTTATTACTTGAACGGTAACAATGAAATTAAAAAAAAAGAAACATGACAATATTAATTATGTCATGCTTTCTGTTTATCTTGAGAGTATATTGTAAACAGCATTTCCGAGGGTCTAGATGTGAGCAACAGCTGGAAAGTATACATCTACTCATCCACCAACGGACCTGAGATAGAAATGTCATTTAGATTTTGCTTCATACCATATAAATACATAACTAATTCAGATTTATTTTTTTAGATAAAATAAATCCTTACAATAGAGATAAGTCTCAGATAGAAAGAATAATTGCTTTCTTGTTGACATCAAGTTATATTTTATCAATAAAAACCCTCACATACGAACTAAATACATCTATATATAATATTTAATTTTTTTATTATGTACTAGATATCTGTTATATAAGATTTGTTTATTAATAGATTATTTGTTGTAGTGGACGAAATAATCGTATTAATTCTTTTCCAAATATGGTACCGCATAAAGTGTTGATATAAAATGTAATGATATTATTAAGAAATAAACTAATAACAGATACATTGAATATTGTATTTTCAGTTGATTGACGTAATTTAGATTTTGTCTCATGAATTGTTGCAATAGAATAGAGTTTGTAAATACTGATAGAAAATTTAGATATGATGAAAACAATATCCTAGAAAAATAAATAAAAATTATTATTTTACAACATTTTTTTTCTCTAATTACTTACACAAGTACATTCCTCGTCCATATAATAATCATGTAAACAACATAAACATAAAAATAAAAGCATAATTGTAATCATAATAAGCAATTATATTTTTGAATGTAGGGACAAAAAAATCCAACAATCATACTTTTATTAATTGATACATTACGCCAAGTAATATCGATGCTTAAACAATTAGGCAAAAACATCGTTATTTATATGATCTATGAGTAATTGTCATAAGAAATTGAATCAGAAGAATAAAAGGTTATATTTCATTTCAAGCTTCTGTACATACACAAGGTAAACAAACGTTTATTTAAAACTTAATATGGCGCACTAAATTGCATAATAACTAGCTAAGAATTCTTTAGGAATAAGATCTAGACATAAATGTTCTTTGCTATATTACTTTGTCTGAATTATGACTAAGAGAGGTCAATTACTCTTATGTAATTATGTACATGACAACAACGAAGAATTTATCAGCTCGATATATTGCGTAGAACGTTCATTTTTCGAAAAGAAACCTTATTATAAAGTTAAATTCAACATTCTAAATGTACAACTAGTTTTTAAAAACATTCATACGAACAGATTTCTCGAATATAAGTTTTGTAGGATTGATTCTTGACAATAAACTGTTTCGCTTCATACATGATTGCATTAAAAAAAGTACCGATGTATCTGTAGATCATCGTATTGTTTTTACCGTTGCATCTTCGCTCTAATTGTTTCATGCCATCTCTTCATATCTCCTAGACATTCTCAATGGATGATCTCTAGTCAGTTAAAGTATACATAAAGAACATGTATTTTACGACTTAGAATATTCCAATTCAGTTTGATTTCTACTTGTATATTATCTATTTTTCAAATTAATAAATTCTTTTTTTAAATTTATTTAAAAGTCATGAAGCATTAAACGGGAAAATATACTTTTGATCACCAAACAAATTAGCACGTAGTGAGCGATAGCGAGTTCATTTTATGAGTGCTGGATAATACATATACGATAGATGACATAGTTGTCGTAATAGTTGATTAATCAATGTAACAAGATTACATAAAAAAAGGATAATCCATTTCAATCTAAATGATCCAATTAACTAAAAATACTTTTAAAGCTCCAAGCTATCCAAAAAATGTTTGTACGGCATGGTTACCATGATTTGTTATGAACATTATTTATTTTTTTTTGTGTCTTTTTTATGTATAATATTATCTTTGGTGTATACGATTGTTATTAATGTACTAACTATCTATTAATAATAAATTTAGTGATCATTTGTATATTTTTGTGGTGATCAAAAAAATTGCCACCCTTGAAAATATATTTCGAAAACTAACACGGTATGTCAGAAAATTAACCTACTTCATTACCGTATATCCAGCCACTAAATCATAAAAAAGATCTATTATCACTGAACTGTAATAACAAATATATAAAGAAATTTATATCATCCGATAAATGCTAATATCTTTATAGGTTTCGTAGATTGTATTAAGTCAAATTCCATGTCGACGTTTGAATCTGCAATAACGGAGGTAAGTGGTAAAATAATCTAGTAGAGACACTAATGTAATATATTCGATATAAATTATAGGATGTATCTGATCATACAAGCGATGATTCAATTCCTGTTCCACTTGTAGCCTTGCAACCTGGGTAAATATGATAACAGTTATTTAACTAATCTAATGAATAACATTTTTAATTTGAGAATGCCAAAGAAGATCTAAATAGTTACAAGTAAAATAAGTTTTTCTATGTCTTTTCTCAATAAATCAATGAATAAGTTTTTATTATCATTTCTGATATACATTGAGTGCCATAACCGGACAAGATTAAGAAAACGAGGAAGATAAAGAAGTTAGTTGGTTGTATTCTATTTATGAAATCTACAATATATGTGCATCGTTGTGATAACTAACATAATCACTTTTTCTTTCAACCAACAATGCTATTCTATTTTTCGTAGAATCACCTAATTTTTCATCGAATTCAATGCTTAAGTTTCTCCGTGCTTTATTTTGGTTCTTCCAATGAAATTATTGATCGATACATACGGTTGTTTGTTTATTCTGAACTTCATTAATGCCGAAACATTTTCAATTGAGTTACATTCTTTGAGTTTTATATTCCGCTGGAATCTTTTTTGAAAATATTACCACTTATTAGCAACTGTTTTAAAGTAGATTTCAGTGAATGTACACAGACTTCTTTAAATCTTCTTCTTTACGTAGTTTTTCTATTTTTTATACATTTCTTTGATAGTTTAAACGCTATCTGACCAACATATTTGGTTGAATATTGAGCTACCATCAATCGAATAGTTGCATTTTGTTTTTCCGGTACAGACCATAAGTTGATAAGGGAAGGAATAGAAATGTTCTTAATTATATGGGATGATGACTATGAATACTTCGTCCAAACAAAACGAAAAGATAAAAGAAAAGTCACTGTTCCTTATCAAAAAGACCGTCGGTCCACTTATAGCACTTACTGCAATAGGCATCACCCAAGAGATAGTTTGTACATACATTTATTTCGAATATCAAGACCCGTATTTAGACTGTATTTGTGTTGTTCAGCATATCCTGTAAGGAACAAATCATACACCATTAAAAATATGTAGTTCAAAGACAAATTCAAAAGTGAACAAAGGTTTGATCACACCATACATATATGATAAAAGGATGAACGAATCAAGCGATTATTAAGTGCAAGATGAGAACTAAAAATTTAATTCGATAGTTACTATAAAAACAACATATTTGTTGTTTTCCTTAATCTCTCTCATATACTTTTTTATAAGAGAACATTCTCGTTATGTTCATACATGATTTTCGGAAAGATTTAATTTTTTTTCTAACTAAAACTATGTGTCACTCTTCATTTTTCTTACATATTCTTTTGATCTATTTTCATTGCGTTATGTGATTTCAATACTAACTAGATGATAAGAAGAGAGATTGTGATTAACTTTTAGAATCTTATTAACAATATTTTTCTAAACTATACTACCAAATAGAACAAAGAAAAAAATATATAAGAGCTTATTCGTTTTTCTACAAACGATATGATTAAATAATGTATTTAGAACATATATGATCCTTAGTATCTTGTTTTCTAATTCTAATAGTATCATCATCTGTAATATGAACGAAATAGAAAAAAAATCAAATATACTAAAAAAGAAGTATGAACCAAATGAAAAGATATTCTAACTATTTTAAAAGAAGAGAACGATATAGACATATACTTCACTTGTTCTCGGTATCATTGTAAAACAAGGAAAAGAAACAAGCACATGATAAAGATGAACCATACTGTAATACTATTATTTGTAAATTTAAGTTAAACTTTATATATTGGTAAATCTAAAATTGTAAGTACACTTACTTCTTAGTTATGTTTCTTAGTTAGATAAATGAAAATAACTAAAAATTCGCATAATTTGTTGAGCAAAGGTTAATTAAACACTTTAATCATTTGAATAATACAATTTATTTTGATGTTATCAAGATATATATATTATTGTACTAGTCCGATTGTTTTCTTTTCTATCTATAGTGAAGTATTACTGGTAAACGATAATATGAATAAAATTGATGATCTATGTAATGAAACACGATGTTGTAGAAAAAAATCTGAATTAATTAAAAAATATTTTCAAAAATGGTCTGGACAGCATAAATCGAATGAATCATCGATTCAATTTATTGAATATATTATTACATTTGTTGGTACTTTTATTGGTCTTGGAATTATATCGGTTGTTCATTATCGAATACTAGCAGAGTGATTAATCAATAGAAAACTATAGAAATAAATTTAATATAATTTTTGTTATTTTAGACATGATTTAACTTTCTTACTTGGTTCATTTGGAGCATCATGTGTACTTCTTTTTGCAGCTCCATCAAGTCCATTAGCACAGCCACGTAATGCAGTTTTTGGTCAACTAATTGGTGCTACCGTTGGTTGTATTGTACGTATTATATTCGATTATATACATGAACAATTCATCGCTGCAACTTTATCAGTTGCTATTAGTATTTTAATTATGCAATTGACTAATACATTACATGCACCAGGTGGTGCAACTGCATTAAATATGATTATGACAAACACAACTTATCCTTGGTATGGTTTTCAGTATATTCTTATGCCTACTCTATCAGGAACAATTATTTTAATAATTGTTGCCGTAATTATTAACAATTTATCATCTAAAAGACATTATCCTGTCGCGTGGTGGTAGAAACAGACTATGAAATATTCTGTTTTTTATATATATTCTATCGAAGCAAAGTAGTGCAATTTAGAAACTAATATCATAAGGTGGAGGCCTACATAACAATATTATATTCATTAATAAAAAATAGTTTCTAGTAAATTAATTTAGCTGAAATTTTTCAACATGAACAAAGAATTAAATAGAGCAACATGATATCTCTTATTTTACTTTTTTTCCTAAAATCAAATGATAAAAGCAGGCATGCAGAAGCAAAAAATACAATAGTAATTGAAATGTTATTCAAAGAGAAAAGTATAGAAACTATTGTAGATTAAATAGGCAAAAAATATGTATATTATTTTACATACATATTTAGTTTTTAAGAAATCGAACACCAAGAAAAGCCACAATATGACATACAACAATATAACCTATTAACGCACCAATACAACCACCTATATTAATATAATCATATCCACGTTCACGTATAAGTATTTCACCATTGTCAATACATCTTTGACTACTTGAGAGTGTGGGTGTGGGTGTGGGCGCAGGTGTCCCTTGTTTAAAGATAACATCCACACCCACACCCACACCCTCAAGATGGGTGAATGCGGGTGTGGGTTTGGGGGAGGTGAGTGTGGTTGCGGGCTCGGGTGTTCTTAGCTTATCGACACCTACGCATACAACCAAACCAGTGCTGCCACCTTTTGAAGCCCAAAAAGCAGAAAAAAGTTTATAAAAAGCAGAAAATGACAGACATTTCGCCATCAAAAAGCAGAAGAAAAAGCAGAAAAGATGTTTCTTACGTAAATCTACTATAAAGCTTACATTCAACATAATAATTAAAAATTGCGGATAAACTGTGTTTCATACCACCCTCCCAGAACATCTGGCAACATGTCCGACTATTCGTAAACGAAATCGGGTTTTAAAGGCGTCGTACAGGTATTCGGAAGTAACGAATATTTAAAAACTTTTAATTTCTTTTATGACTAGTGTTCGGAAACTTTTTTCTATAGAAGACCGTAAAAGAAGAAGTAATAGGTGTTTAACGGATTATCTATATGTTCAATAAAAACAGAATGCCTAGAGTGCGACTGATTTAATCGTATAGATCATAACGATCAAGCTTGAATTTAGTCTAAAGATATAAATTGACGTTGACACACAGCTCATGAATGAGTTTAACAGGGGATTGTTACGAACATAATGATTTCTCGTACGTTCTTTTATCAATAAGGATAACTATTGAATATTTTCAGTATTAGTTACAATCTATCGAGCGTATTTTATTCTGAAGATATTGCTTTTTTAGTTGAATTTCGATCGCCATCTCTAACTCCATAATGTGTTTTTTTTAACTATTTTTCATCTTCGCGGAGTTCCTAACGAGCACCTGGTACAGAAATTCGGAATGACGAAGTGGTACGAAACGTAGTTTCCCCGAAACTGCACACTAAATTATAATCTTAATCAAACAAAATAAAGAAAAATAATGGATTAAAAAAATAATTAGAGTTATTGAACTTAAATATACAATATTAAGAAAAACAGCCAGCCATTATAGAACAAGAGACAGACAATTTAAGTAGATATAGGACAATATAGTAATATGAGTAATTACTAGTAAAACTTGTTTTTAGATTTCGAAAAATGATCATTCAGATGACAATTATTGATTATAGGTATGAGTAACCTAATATTTAAAAAAAGCAGAAAATTTTTAAAAAAGCAGAAAGGGCAGACAAAAAGCAGAAAAATCTTCAAAAAGCAGAATTTGTCTGCTAAAAGCAGACAAGGTGGCAGCACTGAACCAAACCCAACAAATTATGGCAGCCAAACAATTTGTCGGCAAAAAAAAGAAATTGTCGGCAGAGTGTACCTGTCGGCAAAACAGTCTGTCGGCGAAGCGGCGTCGGCAAAGTGGGTGTCGGCAAATTGGGTGTCGACAAAGTGTACGTGACCCGTGATGAACTGCTATTTTCCAGTCATTTTCTAGTGTTTTTGCTTGAAAAATGAAATATTGTTTTAAATTCGAACATACATCATTTCTAGAATTTTTTTTATGAAACTGTTCAGAATGAAGTTCTTTATCTATCTATCTCATTTTCGAGCCAATTTATCTATCTTTGATGCAAAAAATATAAAATACTCTTTTTGTTCTTATAATTTTGGTCAGCCAAAAATCGTGATTTTTAGTAAAGATGGACTTGCTTCAGCTTCACATTGAAATGAAGGAAATCTGACGTCAGATTCGGATAGAGCATGTCAAAATACATATATCTAGACACATACACTATTTTAAGAAGACAAAAAGTACTAGAAAATAAAATAAACAACAAAAAAACGTGCTTGTTCTTATAATTTTGGCCAGTACTGTAGTATATTGACTGAAATCCAAGAAACACTTTCTACCTCTTCATAGATTATTCATATATTTCTTAGAATTGCTTGAAAAATTGGTTTATAATAATACTCTGATCTGTATATTCAATTTAGTTGTGCTCGTCTTTGTAGTTTTGTGTGAAAGTGAGAAATGCACTTGATTGTATTTAAATACTTTCTTTTTTGTAAATGAATCCGATACTCTGATATTAATCTTTCTTAAGTAAAAAATGAGAAGAAAGGCGTCGACAATATTGTATATAAAACATAAAAGGAAAAACAAGACAAGAGTCAATAGAAATATTAATCTACATAAGATATGAATATAAAAAAGGTGGTTAGCGACATGCAAGTGTTTTATGTTTTTACATTGTGTCATGTTCGAAAATAATTAATATTCTATTTATATACGATCTTGTAGCATTCAATTGTTTCCTCACTTGGCAAAAAATAGTTTCTTCAATAAGCGAAAATAAAATAAGCAAAAGCTATTTTTCAGTTTTTTTTCATAATTAAATAGTTGTTCTAAATAGGGGTGAGTCATTTGACTTATTTTACAATTAAGCTGTTACATTAAAGATGAAAACTTAATATTAAGCGTTAAGTCAAAAACCTAAATTAAGTGGAATTAAATCAAGTGACCCACTTCTATATATAACTTTTCGAGAAAATTATCATCATGTTTATTTTTCTAAATGTTTCATACAAAGGTGAATAGAAAAGAATTTCAAAACAGTGTTCAAAAATTAGTTTTAATTTGAAACTATTTTGACTTCTATACTTTTCATAATAACAAGGAAGACTAGTCTACGTATAACATATATTGTGAGAAGTAGGAGATTTAAACTTTGGCTCTGATCCACACTAACTCATGATCAAATTCGTCGATAGTCTTATCGAATATACTCCCATCGATTCTTACCAGATCTGACTAGTTTTTTAGATCAAAATGAATCGATTAGAATATAATAATCATTAATTAAAAGCAACAAAGTTTCGTATGAACTACAAAAACCAAAGATAATAAATTTAGCTAAGGTATACAGTTTATTCTGATTATTCGATATTCATAAAAATACGAAAGAGCACAAAACAATCATAAAATATTTTTAAA